ACCCACCCACCGTGAAGAGAGGCTGGGCAGCCAAAGGCAGGGAAACGTGGGCTTCCACCAGGTACTTTTTAAAGCCTGTAAGATTTGTCCAGAGCTTAACAGTATGTGCATGTTCAGTGGGCTGTCAATGTTGGTTCTCCCAGCAGGGTCTGGATGTATAGTAGGATGGTCCTGATGCCATACAGAGCTGACCACTTGTTTTTGAGGATGTTCAAACAGATATTGCCTTGGGTGTCCATGCTGAGATGGTGACAGGGAGTGATGAATTTCAGAGTGGGAGCATTATATGAGTTGTCACTAGGGGACTCCAGGGAGAGTTTGTACCTTAGGTCTCAAGAACCCTGGGACATATGTGTTACTAATATTCCCATTTTACAATTGAGGAAACTGAGGCATACAGGTTAAAATGCCTTGCCCAGGGTCAATCACACAGCTGGGAAGTGTCTGAAGTGGGATTTGAACTCAAGTCTTTTAGTGACTACAGGCCCAGCATTCTAGCCACTGTGCCACCTAGCTCCCTCTAGCTAGTTCTGCCTGGCGCTAGATTGTGAAGGGTTTTAAATGTAAAGCGAGGCATTTATATTTTATCTTGGTGGCAGTTGGGAGCCATTGGAGCTATATCAGGGGAGGAGTGGCATGGTCAGGCATGTACTTTAGAAATACAGGTTTGATGGCCATGATCAATTAGGAGGCTATTGCAATAGTCCAAGCAAGAAATGATGAGTCCTGAACTGAACTACGATGGTTGTGATGTGAGTAGAGAGAAAGGGATAGATACTAGAGACATTGCAGAAGTCAAATCAACCAGATTTGGATATGAAGGGTGAGGGAGGGTGAGGAGTTGAGGATGACCCCAAGGTTGTAAACCAGGCCTGTACAACATATGGCCTGAGAGCTGCTTTCGGCCTGCCAAAGTGGCCTGTGGGCAGTAGGTTGGGCAGGCCTATTGTAAACCTTGGCAGTTAGAAAGATGGTCATCGCCTTGTCAGGCATACGTGGAATTTTTCTGCACTGGTGCAGGTTGCAACTCATCCCTGCCTCCTCATTCTGTGAGGATCCATCTAATGTGCTGTAGGCCTTCCTCTGGGTCTTTTAATATTTTTTAGGTGCCAGTGCAGCTCTTGGACTGTCCATCTGTTATCCTTCACTCACCATACGTGACCAGCCAGCCTTTCTGGTTATACATGTCATTAGCGATGTCTTTCATGCCACTTTTTCCAAACAGATCATCATTGATAACGTGCCATAGCCTACTTAGAGTCATCATAAATCTTTCTATTGCCCTTGGGGTCACCCACAAATTTGATTCTTTAGAGAGCGTGGCATTCCATGATTCTCAGCGATATAGCAGCACCAGGAGAATATTGGTAGTGGAAAGATGGGCTTTTGTGTAAAGGCACAGTTTGTGATCATTGAAATAGCTGTCTAATTTTCTACATTCAGTCTTTTTTACTCTTCTAATCAATTCTCAGGCTACATAAGGGAACTTTTTTTTTTTAAACCTACAGTAATTTCTTTAGGTGTTACTTTGGATTTATTTGTAGTTTTTCAGTTTTAGATCTTCCTCTTAACATAATTTTTATTAAAATGATTTTATTCAATTGCAGTTGGAAAATGAGTTTTTTTAATTTCATTTTTTATTCTGAACTTAAACCAAAAAAGAACATTTTTACATATACAGCAGAATACAAAAAGAGGAATTTGTATGAAACCCCTTAAAAAAAAAGTAATAAATTCTACATATTACTTTCAAAACCGTCCTGCTTATCTGTACTTCTTTCTGAACTTCCTTCTGTTCTCTTTAGTGCTTTTTTAAAACAGTGTTGCAATGGCCCCCTTTTGGGGGGTATCACTATGCTAACCTCCCCAACATGCTGCCACCTCTTCCCCCTGCCCTCACTCCTACTTATGAACTAACTTCATGAAGAAAAAAAAGGAAGAAAGAAAAAAATCCTTGTCATAACTGAGCGGAGTCAAACAAAGTAAATCCACAGTGGTAGCCATGTCCAAAAACGAGTGTCTCTGCATCTTGTCTCCATCATCTCTCTGTAAACAGGTGGATAACCTGCTTCATCATAGGTACTCTGGAGAAAGGGTTGATCATTCCATTGAGCAGAATTTGAAAGTCTTGAGAAGTTGTTGTTCTTGTATAAATCTGGTTCTGCTTACTTCTCTTTGTCGGTTTGTAGTCAGTCCATTGTAGGATTTTCTGCACTCACCTCTTTTACCACTTCTTATGGTAGAATAATATTTATATATTACGATTTGTTCAGCCATTTTCCAGTTGTCTAAAGGCAATCTAAGGCACTCTCTTAAATTATAGTTGTCTTTCTCCCCCTGCAGTGTGTGCGGGGGGGCAGGGGGAGGGAGGCCTCCCTCCCCCCAATCCCTTCTTTAGAATCAGTAGGCTTGTTTTGCTTGTGACTGTTTCCTCACTGGTATTATCGTCTTTCTGGTTCCTGCTTCCTTTCTCCAAGCCATCTCGGCTTGTTTTCCGGTTGAGTTTGCTGTATTTCCCCACCGAACTCTTGTGTTTTCAGCTCTCCTTTTTCATTTTTAGAGGAGTGGGATACATCTGATGCCCATTCCCCCCCACTCCTTCCTCCATGTTTATATATTCTCATGTAGTATGGCAGTTATAAGAAATAGGAAGGTCCTCTTCCTTCCTCCTTTCTACATTAATATCTTTCTTCTTTTACCTTCCTTTCTCTTCTCTTCCCCTCTTCAAACCCTCGGAACAGAACCAATCCACCTTATAAGATGTCTGTGTTTCTTATTTAACTCCCTCAGTACCTTTTGAAAACATTAAAGTTCTGAAGGGACCCTTGTTTCTTCTCCCTCTACTAGAATATTAGCACATCATCATAAGAAGTTTCTCATTGCTCAAATAAATTTGCCTAGTTTCTAGGTTTTTCTGGACTCTCTTGTATTTGTATTTCAGAGATTCTATTCGTCTCTAGTCTTTTTATCAAGAATGTTTACAAGTCCTTTGTTCTATTAAAGATCCATTCTTTTGCTGTAGGATTATGCTCAGTTTTTCAGCTAAGTTATTCTTGGTAGTAGGCCTTTAACTTTTGCCTTTTGGAATATTGTATTCCAAGATCTCTTGGGTTTTTGGTTTGTTTTTTTAAGGAAATTTCCCAGGTCTTGGGTGGTCCTGACCGAAGTTCCTTGCTACTTGAATTACTCCTTTACAAAATGCCTGAAGTATTTTTTTTTCTTTGATGTGGGAGCTTTGAATTTTGGCTATGGCATTTCTGGGACTTTTCCTTTTGTCATGCCTTTCAGGAGATGCTCAGTGGATTCTTTCTGTCTTTACTTTGCCCTCCGGTTCTAGTAGAACTAGACAGTTTTCATTTGTGATCTCTCTGTTGTTGTTGGGTTTTTTTTCTTTTTCTTTTTTTTTCTTTTTTAGGCAATTGGGGTTAAGTGACTTGCCCAGGGTCACACAGCTAGTAAGTGTCAAGTGTTTGGTCTGAGGCCGCATGTGAACTCAGGTCCTCCTGACTTCAGGGCCGGTGCTCTATCCACTGCGCCACCTAGCTGCCCCCATTTGTGATTTCTTGAAATAGAGTGTCCAGACTTTTTTTGAGGGGGGGAGGGGGAAGGGGATATCACGATTTTTAAATGATTTTAAAATATCCTCTCCTTAACCAGTTTACAAGGTAATTTGTTTTTAATGACATATATCTTACATTTTCTTCTATCTTCTCCAATCTTTTGATTTTGTTCTAATATTTTTTACTGTCATGGAGTCATTGATTTCTCTTTGGTCTAGTCTAGTTTTTAGGGATTCTATTTCTTATGTAAAGTTTCCCACTTTCTCTTTTAATCAGGTTTTTTTTTTTTTTTTTTTTGCCTTCCACTTTTTTCCTCTAGTATCCTTGCCAAGAAAACCCCAAATAGGGTCACAAAGAGTCATACATGACTGAAAAATGACTGAATGTCAACTTGTATTTCATTCTTCTAATGGTTCACTTTTTCTAGGTATTCATGTACTTCTTGTGGAAAATCCAGTTTTTCCTTTCAGTGTCTGCTTGCAGTTATTATGGAGTTAGATTTGTAACATTTTTTGATACTTGTCGGTGTTTTCTTTGATTTACTCATCTCTTCAGCTTTAGTTCCTAAATTGGGGCTTTGTGCTAGGATGTGCTTTTGGATGGGGTGGTCAAGCCCTGCTTGGTCTTGCCTTGATTCCCTAGAGCTGACCTCCACCTCCCATTGTTTAGGCCAGCCTGGATCTTTGAAGTTTAGAGATGCTAAGTCTTCAAGGCCTTCTCTGATGTCTCCGGACAGAGTAATGGGGAGAGACATCAGAGTCCCATGGGTCTATGCTCTCCTGGTCTGACTGCTGCCTCAGGATTCAGAGTGTTGCAGGCTACTGCAGAGTTGTCCCTGGCCATCTCTGATTGGGTTGGTTCTTGCTTTACTAGAGTTCCTTCCTTTTAATATTGCCCTCAGGCTTCTGGCTGACTTTTTTTTTTTTTAAAAACAGTATTAGAGCAGAAGAAATCATTGTCATTTCTCTTTGAATTTCTTGGTCATTACTTGATCTGGTGTGAAGTTCAGGATTTTGCTGGAGTAGGTATACAGGAGCTCAGCAGCTTGCCTCCTGTTCAGACATAGCCATCTTGGCAGGAAGTGAATTTGTTTTCTACAAGGAACAGTACCTATTTCTTGTTTCTCTTTTTCTTCCCCAGTACTACAAATGTGGTGCCCAGTTTGCACTTGTCACCTTGGGAACACTGAGTGCATACACAGCTTACACAATTGCAGTCACACGGTGGAGGTAAGCTATGCCCCAGAAGCCAGTTGGGATTTAGAGCTATGTTCCCTCGGTGGAACAGATTGTTCATGGCTTTGCCCATTTTTGTTTTACAGAACTAAATTTAGAATAGAAATGAACAAGGCAGATAATGATGCAGGTAATGCTGCCATAGACTCACTGCTGAACTATGAAACTGTGAAGGTAATGCATGAATTTATACTTTACTTTTAACTCTGTTACTAAGACCTAGTGCAAGTCAGATATCTTTCTGATTTTCAAGGAATGTTGTAGAATATCAATTGAGGGTGGTCAGATGCTCATTTTGATGAAAAGTTGCCTCTTCCTTAGGGAGTGCCTTATTTTAGTTTGTGCCATCTTTTTTTTTTTGTTTTTGTTTTTAGGCAATTGGGGTTAAGTGATTTGCCTAGGGTCACACAGCTAGTAAGTGTCAAGTGTTTGGTCTGAGGCCGGATTTGAACTCAGGTCCTCCTGACTTCAGGGCCGGTGCTCTATCCACTGCGCAACCTAGTTGCCCCTGGTGCCATCTTAAAATTTCACTTTTTAAATGAATTTCTAAGTGATGAAAGTATGATGACCAACTTGATTCCGAATGAAGACATAGCTAGTTCTTCAAGCATCTTTCAAATGCTATTCTCCATGTTAAAGAGCCAGAGTTTTTTACATCTACTGGCCTATAAAGATCAGCTTGAAAGAATACTTATGACAACGTGCAGGAATAACTAGTAACAGTGGTTAAAGTTAGGCTTATAAAGCGGGGGAAAGTATAGCATTGTGTTCTATCTGGTAAAGTCAGTGATTGAGCAAGTGTCCCAAAGATTTCAGAATACAGATTGCAAATTGCATTTGCTGATATGTCAGTTGGATGCTTATATGCTTTTTCTCAAGGTAATTGTCCTTATATGTCCTGTAGTATTTTAATAATGAAAGATATGAAGCACAGAGATATGATGGATTCTTGAAGTCTTATGAGGCAGCCTCACTGAAGAGCACTTCTACCCTGGCTATGCTCAACTTTGGACAAAATGCTATTTTCAGTGTTGGCCTAACAACAATAATGGTTCTTGCCAGTCATGGAATTATGGCAGGTAATGGATACCTTTACCTTTTATCTTCTGTTTTTTACCTTAATGAACAAAGACAAATATAATGGCTACATATGCCATTGTTGACTGTGAAATTCATGTAACAAAGAGCAACCTTAATATAGTTGGGGAATTTTTCTTGGTTGAAATGGAATGTTTTCCCTATTGTTTATGATGCTTTTCCTTTAACAACTTTTTTTTTGGGGGGGTGGTATTTTGATACATCAGTTTAGAATAGTGGGATCTTTCTTGCCATCGAATATATTTTAATACACAAAGCCTTAAAAATTCACAGTCTGTGTCTGTGTGTCCATTTGTGTCTGTCTGTGTGTCCACTTGTGTCTGTCTGTGTGTCCGTGTCTGTCTGTGTGTCCGTGTCTGTCTGTGTGTCCATTTGTGTCTGTCTGTGTGTCCATGTCTGTCTGTCTGTGTGTCCATGTCTGTCTGTCTGTGTGTCTGTGTTTATCTGTGTGTCCGTGTCTGTCTGTGTGTCCGTGTCTGTCTGTGTGTCCATTTGTGTCTGTCTGTGTGTCCGTGTCTGTCTTGTGTGTCCATGTCTGTCTGTGTGTCCGTGTCTGTCTGTGTGTCCGTGTCTGTCTGTGTGTCCATTTGTGTCTGTCTGTGTGTCCGCGTCTGTCTGTGTGTCCGCGTCTGTCTGTGTGTCCGTGTCTGTCTGTGTGTCCGTGTCTGTCTGTG